ACCTGGGCATCTCCATCACTGCTCCACAAAGTCCTGCTCTCCAACAACCTGTTACATGGCATGTCCTTCAGCCATTTTTTCAACAAAGCCTCGGAGGCTTCTACTAGGGGCCTGCACTGATGCCATGATTAAGCCTCACAACCAAATATAAACTGAAGCTTGAGTAAGCGTTGGACAAATCGTAGCAGTGGGGACACCTGGCAGGGAGTACTCTACCAACAGCCTTCAGCTCCTGGTCACGGTCCGAGGTGTGCCCTTGACCAAGTCTTCAACCCCTGAGAGCCTCATTTTCCGCATCTATAACATGACACAGCTGGACTGGGGCTCCTTCTGAGTCTGACATTCTAGAACTCTTGAGTCCAACAAGGAAAAGTGTAACTTAAGCAAAATTTAATTAACATTAGTTAAAAATAAGCCAAAAGAGGACACCTTGGTGGCTCAGTTGGTTAGGCTTCTGACTCTTGATTTGGGCTCAGGTCATGTTCCACAAGATGGAGCCCCATGCTGGGCTCTATGCTGACAGTGCAGGGCCTGCTTGGGATAGTCTCTCTCTCCCTCTTTCTCTCAAAATAAATAAACATTAAAAAAAAAAAAAAAGGAAATAACCAAAATAGTCATAGGAAAAATGTTCTTCTGAACTTAAAAAAAATTTTTTTAATGTTTATTTATTTTTGAGACAGAGAGAGAGCATGAACGGGGGAGGGTCAAAGAGAGAGGGAGACACAGAATCTGAAGCAGGCTCCAGGCTCTGAGCTGTCAGCACACAGCCCGACATGGGGCTCAAACTCACGGACCATGAGATCATGACCTGAGCCAAAGTCAGACGCTCAACCGACTGAGCCACCCAGGTACCCCTGTTCTTCTGAACTTTAAATGCTGTCCTGGAACCTGCATCTTAGGGCCGGATCAAAGGCGGGAGGAGGACAGCACCCTACCGTGGCCTGACTGTCCAAAGTTCAGGCCCTCAAAGATAAACTGTTCTCTTTGTGAGCTCATATGCCCTTTACGAGGTCACTTTTCAACGTTTATTTATTTTTGGGACAGAGAGAGACAGAGCATGAACGGGGGAGGGGCAGAGAGAGAGGGAGACACAGAATCGGAAACAGGCTCCAGGCTCTGAGCCATCAGCCCAGAGCCTGACGCGGGGCTCGAACTCACGGACCGCGAGATCGTGACCTGGCTGAAGTCGGACGCTCAACCGACTGCGCCACCCAGGCGCCCCACGAGGTCACTTTTATAACTGCCCAGCACTATGGCAAAGATTGTAATCCCTACAGCCACCCTGACACAGGCATTATCATCTTCAATTCACAAATAAGGAAGCTGAGGCCCAGCGAGGTTAAGGAACACGCAGAAGCCGAAAGCAGCTCACCTACAAGGGACAGAGCTAAGATTCGAATCCAGGCCCCTTAGCCTCTTGGGCCAGTGTCCCACTTTTTGGACAAAAAAGAGCTTTCATTTACTTACAAGGTGCCGGCCACTCTGCCAAGCACTGGATACACTTTCTTTAACACTCAGAACAACCCATGAGAAAATGGGGACACGGAAAGGTCAGGCAGCTTCCAAAGGGGCAGAGGCTGAATTCATTTCAGTAATGCCAATTAACGTTTAGTTAGCAAATTACGTTTTCCTTGTCGGACTCCAGGGCTGGTTCTAACCACTGCCTTCCCCAGCCTTCAGGGCCCCTATCTCTTCAACATTGCCTTCCACACCAAGAGCATGTGACCACTCTTAATTATCTAGGATGGTAGAGGTTTGGGCCTCCTTCTCTGCTGAACTGTGGACCCCAGAAGATGAGGACTGAATTTTCCATGTGGGTGTCCCTCCGTGGCACTTTGCTCTTTGGAGGCATCCAGTAAAACTTGTTAAATTCATGGGCTTGGCTGTCCTAGGGCAGGAGGCTCCTCTTTCAACATGGGGTGTCAGCTCAGATGTCCTTAAAGGGCTCCCTCCCCACCCTCGTATGTCCACTCTCCAGAATCCTGGGGTTTCTGTGGGCCAAGCCCTTGTGACCACGGCCGTTGTCACAGCCCCACCCACACTCCCTTTGGCAGTCATGCTGGGCACCTGAGGCTCACCTCAGCCAGGCATCCTGCCCACCTGTCCCAAGACTACTCAGAGACAATATGCGATTGTGAATGTGCCACAGGCAGCCCTGTACACACCATGGGTAACAAAAAGCACACACACATGCTTGTGCACACACGGGAAGCGTCTAAAACTATCCAAGAACTATTAACTATTAGAAGCTGGTTAAAGAAAGATGATATGTATAGACTGGCTATTCATCATCCTCATGAAGTAAATAAAAGCCTGGCCTTCCACGTGTAGACTGAAATCGGTATCTTCTTTTTGGGGTGAGCGCAGTGGAAAGTACACGGGTCTGGAGACAGAAGACCTGGCAGGGGCTGCCCTCAGGCTCTTGTGGCTGGATGACCTTACAGAGACATTGGGTCTCCCAGAACCTCAGTTTCCTTCCTCTCTTCACAGCGGTGAGACCCCTGCCATCCTTTCTCCCAGGTAAGTTGGGCAAACCGAATGAGAAGAGAGATACACAAGCCCTTCGTAAACCATGATTGCCAAGGTCACTTGGCCAATACGAGGCAGAGCCTGATCCAAGACCCTGACTCCAGGCTCGCCTGTTTCCCAAAGTCAGTTGCTTCTATCATTTTGCCAGGAACTTATAGTTAGTGGGGCCTTGACTGCCACACAGCCAATAACAAAGGGAACAGAGCAAGGTTCCCCTTAAAGATCTCCTCTCCCTAAGAACGCTCAAAACTGACCTTGAGGTTAGGAAAGGCTTCTGATGGCGTCAGAAGTAGGGGTGGAGTCAAGGCACCCCAAGAATCCAACACTTACTACACATCCAGTTGTTGTCTTTTCCAGGGAGATGTCACCATCCACAGGAAGCCAACCTGGTGGGTGGGACCCAAGGTCGGTGTGATGCCCAACCTCCAAATCTGAGGAACCTACCCCAAACCAGGAAGCAGCTCATTCTTAGTGGTGTGTCAGGCAGACTAGGCCCGGCTGCAGGCCCCAGTCCTAGTGAGGCCTTCCCAGACTGGCCCTTACTCAGCTCACGCTCAAATACTAGCGTGCCTGCTTCCGATTCTGTCCAAGGTAATGAAGAGTAACCTTGAGGCTGCCCTCCCCGCTCCAGTGGGAAACGAGCCAGCTCACGATCTCCAGCTTCCTCTGGGGGCTTCTATCTACCCATGGCCCGTGGAGGAAGGAAGGCCGGGGGTGGTCCGCTGCGAAGAACAACCCGTTGCCCCCATTGTGTAAGATGCTACCAGGCTCAATGGAGCAATTAACCTTTCGAGGGGATGGGTATTTTCTGCTCCTCCGTTAACACCGACTCCCCGAAAAAGCAGAGGCAGACAGGAAAGGGACTGTATCTCTGCAGCCTCCGCCCACTCGGGTACCCACCGAGGGGCTCGCCTGGCAAGCTGGTAATCTGCACCCCACCTCTCAGGGGATCCGGCAGGCGATGCACCACCGCCCGGAGAACGCCCTCGGATTAGGGGGCTCAGCGGGACCCCGGCAGGGGCTCCGGCGCGCTCGGGCACCGGGCGGGGCGGGGCGGAGCGCCAGGGATGCGCATCGACCCCGCCCGGGGACGGCGCCGCGCGGATTCCTCCCGCAAACGGCCTGCGTGGCCGCGGCGCCGTCCCCGGGATGCGCCTCAGGCCGCCGGCG